AACTTGGGCTGGGTCTTTTAGATTATTTATTGATCTTTATAGGATATTGAGAAACCAGCAAACAGTAGTTAAAACATTTTGAAGCATTAGATAAACAATATGAGAAAGATTTTTGATCCTACAGAAGTCTTCTCGTGCTTTCAAAAAATTTTAAAAGGTTTTTATTTTTTTGAAAGTCAGAATGAGAAGAGAGAGAGAGGAGAAGAGAGAAAAAGAGAGGAGAGAGATCTTCCATCCATTGGTTCACTCCTCAAATGGCTGCAACAGCTCGGGGGGGAGTGGTGTCGGGGAGGCTGAAGCCAGGGGCCAGGAGCTTCTTCCAAGTCTCCCAAGTGGGTGCAGGGGCCCAAGGACTTGGACCATCTTTTCTGCTGCTTACCAAGCGCATTAGCAGGCAGCTGGATCTTAACTGGAGCAGCTTAACCCACTATGTCACAACGCCAGCCCTTTCATGCCTTTTTTTTTTTTTTTTTTTGACAGGCAGATGGATAGTGAGAGAGAGACAGAGAGAAAGGTCTTCCTTTGCTGTTGGTTCACCTCCTCCAATGGTGGCCGCGGGCGCGCGCTGTGGCCAGCACACCACGCTGATCCGAAGGCAGGAGCCAGGTGCTTCTCCTGGTCTCCCATGGGGTGCAGGGCCCAAGCACCTGGGCCATCCTCCACTGTACTCCCCGGCCACAGCAGAGAGCTGGCCTGGAAGAGGGTCAACTGGGAAAGAATCCAGCGCCCCAACCGGGACTCAAACCAGTGTGCCGGCGCCGCTAGGTGGAGGATTAGCCTATTGAGCCGCGGCACCGCCTCATTTTTCTTTGTACATGTAATTTGCAGCATTTTCTACATCTCGTTACTTTTGAGGGCCATGACATATTCTCCAATAATAAATCTGCCACCGGGCCGGCGCCGCGGCTCACTAGGCTAATCCTCCGCCTTGCGGCACCGGCACACCGGGTTCTAGTCCCGGTTGGGGCGCTGGATTCTGTCCCGGTTGCCCTTCTTCCAGGCCAGCTCTCTGCTGTGGCCAGGGGTGCAGTGGAGGATGGCCCAGGTGCTTGGGGCCCTGCACCCCATGGGAGACCAGGAAAAGCCCTGGCTCCTGGCTCCTGCCATCGATCAGCGGGGGCGCTGGCCGCAGCGCGCCGCTGCGGCGGCCATTGAGGGTGACCAACGGCAAAGGAAGACCTTTCTCTCTGTGTCTCTCTCTCACTGTCCACTCTGCCTCTCAAAAAAAATAAAAATAATAAAATAAATAATAAATAACTCTGCCACCAATAAATAAATACGTATAGTTTTAAGAAATCAGCCTTCAATTAATTCAGTTGCCAATAATATTCTGGATATTTTTCATTTGAATAAACACTCCAGGTAGGTAGAGGTCCTATATACTTGGAAGTAGCTTTTAAGATGAAGAAGCCAAGTTGTTCACATGTATTAAAAAAAAAAAAAACACCAAAAATGCAACTGAGTTGGATTAACTCACCCAGGGATGCATTTCTTCACAAGGAACATTAAGTTTTTCCTCATAGCAGATACCACTGCACTGTACCATCAGACAACATGTGACTGATTACCAAAGCCTTTCAAAAATTCTATTACTCACTTAGAACACAGCATCCACTTTGAGGGCAATATAATTGTTCTAAAAGAGAAGTATCACAATGACAGTTGGTTTTAAATCCCAGTTCCATAACTTACTGTAAAATGAGAATCATCACGTCACACACATTAATTATTAGTAATATATTAATATGTGGAAAGTGCTTACAAGTGTAAAATACTTGACACACAGCAAATGATCCATGTACCTGGCATTCATCCTTATGATTTGTGTGGCTATTGTTGCAATCATTACTACACATTACTTCTGAATCTTTAGTTAAATGTTTTAAGAAAAAACCTGGTCAATTATGTTACAAAGTAGATTATCTCCATAATGTGAGAGTGCTGTGGTTCTTAACAATATATTATTGTGAGTTTCACCATGCAGGCTGAAGTGTATCAAATAGTAGTTCTTGAGCTGTTTTTAATATTAGTTGTTGTAATAGTTTAAATACATGGACAAGTTAAAAAATGATCTTCATAATCCCAGAACCAGCACTTGGAAGTGAGCATGGGTCCTGGTTGCTGAGCAAAATTTACAATAAAACCTTTATTAATGAAGCTCCGTATCCAGACTCTTACAGGTACTGGATTCTAATGGGGACCCTTCTGTACAATACTAGATGTCACTAAGCAACATCTTTAATTTTATTATATTTATTTTCATTTTACTTTAAAGGGAGAGAGCAAGAGGAAACGGGAGATGGAGAGAGAGAGAATGAGCCATTTCTTGGGTCACTCCTCAAATACCTGTAAGAGCCAGAGCTCAAGCCAGGTCAAAGACAAGAACATAGCACTTGGAAATCAAACCAGAACTCCAGTGTAGATGGCAGGAACCCAAAAACTTGAGCCACCACCTACTGGTGCCTCACTAGCAGGAAGCTGGAATAGAGAGTGGAACCAGGAGTCGAACCAGGCACTCTGATAGGCCATGTGGGTGTTTCAAGTGGAGAATTAACTGATGTACCCAAAGCCCTAGGCAACACCTGGGCATAAGTAGAAGAGTCTATCGTTTCCAAACAGGCTTATGTTTTGGCTGTGAAAAGACCCGAAGATTAACAGCCCTTAGAAGGAAGAACGTGAAGTAGTCTTGTGAATTCATTATGGAGAATCAGCAACATCATTACAATGACCTCACTGAGTAGGCTGAGTGACAGATTGCTTTATTTCACTGAATGGTCATATCAGGAAAGACCATCTGCATAGCAATAGTTCCTGACATCTCTTTTTCTTTTTTTAACTGCTACCTTTGGAGAATGTTTTGGGGGTTAGCTGAAACCAACTAGCTTGGCTGAAGAGTTCCCGTCCTGCCCAAAGCATCTTGCTTTTCAAGGCTGTCTTCAGTTGGGGTGATGAGAAAGCACCCAGCTGCCATTTCCTGATAACTGCTAAATTAGGGGGGAAGCAGATGATCAGCTGAGTTCGTCCTGTGGGGAGGGAGGAAGAGAAGGCCAACTTCTGCTTTCCTGGGGCTTGGTTTCCTAAGCTCCTAGTTCCTCTTTATAAAATGCCCCTGTAATCAGTTCAGGGAGTGGCTAACTTTGTTTTCCCAGCCTCTTTGTTACTACTCTGTTCCACAGTCTTAATTGGTATCCTGTCTATTCTTAATCTCTTTAAGATCTTATCAAACCTTAAAAAGGGGGACTTACTTAAATTCCCTTCAATGAGAATGTTTTCTGTGGGCTAAAAGACATAATTTTGAAAAAGAATAACTAAAATTAAGATACAGCTTGAGGATAATCGAATTGAAGCGTCGAGTCCAATCAGACAACCCTGAGGCTGGATGCTGGTTCTGATTCTGTCAGTTGCATCATTTATTTTATTTGATGTTGAATTCAAGATAATAATGTTATTTTACAACCACTTTCCAGTATTACGTCAGTGGCTTTGGCACGCTGGGACTTACTTGTTTATGAAATGGAAGTTTCTGCTTCCTTAAGAAATGTCTCAACTCATGGTAATGTGAATATTTTTGAAGCCCTTTTGGTAGGGCTAGCCTGTAGTGCCTGTTGTAGATGTTTGGGGAGTAGAAGTTGACTTAAAATATCAGAAGAGGGAGGGGCTTAAGGCTTCTTGAGGCTTCCCTAACAGTTTCCTTACCATCACAAATAGTTAAGTAGATTCTTTAGAAGTCCTACAATGCATCCTGCTGCTGCCACTATGTAAGTCTAAAAATTACCTGCAGATGGAGAGCTCCTGGATGAAGACTGCTTGGATTAAATGCCCAGTTTGGCCATTCTCTAGCTCTGCGGTCAAGTTACAGCAGCTGTAAATGAGGATTAAAATGAGCAGTCACCACGTAAAGTAGTTACAAGATTAACCATCACAGTTTAAGCTGTTACTGTACTAATGTCTTTTTTTTTTTCAATAACAAAAAATTGGCGAGGGAAAAATATTGAGCATCTACTATTTGCTGGACACTAGTCGGACAGTTTAAGATCCCACTTGATCCTCTGTAAAGCAATGTTCCTCATCTCATTTTTCGGATGATGAAATCATGGCTAGGAAGCCTCACCATTTCTCCTAAAGGTCACATAACCACTGACTAGTTTGAACCCGGAATTGTCCCTAAAGCACATGTGTACGTGGCACAAAGCAAGCCTCATTCACTTTCTTTTTTACTCCCACCCCAGGGTATGTTTCAGGGTTTCCAAAGAGCAGAGTGCGGGAGTGTCATCTGAGAGAGCAAGGGGTACAGGAAACGTCACTCTAAGGATTGTAACCTCCAGCGTTTGAGTGACAGGCAGGGGACTGGGTCGGTTTGCGTTGCAGTCGGCCTGCTCTCAAGTTGCTGGGTGACCCTCGGCAAAGTACCTCACCCTTCCGGATCGCAACTAAAACATGCTTAGCACCAGACGGCTGGACTGATTTCCTAGCTCCCTCTGGTTTTAAAATCGCAGCCTTGTAACCACAGACCCCTCCTCACCATTCGAGCCCGTTTCCCGTTCGTCCGGGACCAGCCACCCTTTGCCACAACTCGGCTGCACAGCCTTCGTAGCCACCGCTCCCTAAACCCAACCCTTCCCTGTGACCGCGGGACTAAAGGTCAGGGGCGAGGGCCCGAACACCGCCGGCGGAATTACAAAGCAGGCAGTCCCTGAACTTCGCGAGCCCGCAGCAGAACGCCACCCAGGGAAACCGAGACAGGGCAGACCTGACGCTACGCCGCGACGGCGGGGCGGGGAGGAGAGCGGGCGGGGCGGGGCCGAGAGCGGATTGGAGGGCCGAGGGGGCGGGGCCCGCGCTGACGGCCCCTGGGGGAGGAGCGACGGAAGCCGCGTCGGCGTCAGGGGCCTGTTCTCGCCCCTTAGTTTCCCCTCCCCCGCGCCGGGCGGGCGTGGCGGCGGGCGTGCCGGCGGCTGTTTGACGTCATAAGGGGCGGGGGCGGCCCGGGGGGAGCAGCCGGCGCGCGGGCGAGTTCCGCAGTTGCTGTGTGGGACGCTGGCTGCGCAGTGTCTCTGTCCTGCGCTCCGGTGTTGCTGTCACAGTCCGTCCCTTCCCGGAGCCCGGGGACAGACTGGGCGCGCGCCCGTGTGGGAGTGGGACTCAGGGCAGAGGTGTCCCTCGCTGCCTTTTTTTCTTTTATCCAAAGATAGGGGCAGTTCGCACGCTCGCCTTCCTGTCGCGGGGTTGGGAGTGGGGTTGGTGGGCGGAGTGGTTCGTCTTTTTTTTTTTTTTTTTCTTTTGAACTTGTGAGCGCTTTTTTTCTTTCGTTTTCTTTTTTTTTTTAGGCTGAGTGCCGTGCGGGCTGGTCCCCCGGTCCCTGAATAACCGCTTTCTGCCCCTTCTCGCCACCCCCGCCCAAGGTCGCCCCTGTCCCGGGAGGGTGGGAAGCCGCGTCCCCGCCCTGCCTGCGGGTGTCTCCGCAGCCGTAGCCGCACCTGCCTCAATATGAATGGGGTCAACGACCCGCCTCTTTTATAAAAGATATTAAGCCCGGACTGAAAAACTTAAATGTCGTCTTTATTGTGCTGGAGATAGGTAAGTGGGGTCCACCGCCCTCGGGGCGCCCCGGGGCCGGGAGCGCCGGACTCCCCTCCCCCGCGGCGCCCTCTCCTCCCCTCCCCCACCCACGTGGCCCCGGTGGCCTCCTCCCGGGCTCGGGTCCTACCTGCGGCCAGAACCCGGCGTCCAGTGTAGGAGGAGTGAGAGAGCCCCTTCTGGACGACCTCGTTCGCTAACACACTCCTTCCCCCTTTTCGATTTTTAAATCCTCACAGGACGCGTGACCAAAACCAAAGACGGCCATGAAGTGAGATCGTGCAAAGTAGCAGATAAAACGGGCAGCATCACTATTTCCGTGTGGGATGAGATCGGAGGTCTCATACAGCCAGGGGATATAATTCGGTTGACCAGAGGGTAGGTGTGCTTCCAAGTGGGCTGGGCACGAGGAGCAGGGAGCGCTGTCGGGGTCGGCCAGCTCCTGGGTCTCAGCAGTGCTGAGGAGTTGGGAGCCCCTTGGGAGTTAACGTGGACTGTGTGGGCTGTAGCACACCTTGGCAGTTGCAGGCCACAGCGGCCACCCACTGCACCCCCGAGTTTATGGGATGGTTGTATTTTAAAAACTCTCCTGGGAGTCATTGAGTCTTTTTTAGTAGACTGTTAGAGCCTGTGCTTTCGCTTTTTTGTAAGTTATTTAAGCCGGTACAGTTGTCCCCGCCCCTCCATTTTTTCCTGCCCATGTTTCACTTTCTTATTGAGACAATGTGGACACAAGTAAAAATGTACCTGTGGGATTTACCGTTTTCTGTGTGTCACATTTGTACTTGGAACAACATAAGATGGGAATTTTGCAATGTCTTGGAGGCTCAGTGTCAAAAACCATTTCTTGTGTCTTACAATGTAAGGGCAGGGTTGTACAGAAACCAGAATGTCACCAGGAAGGTGTTTGGCAGGAAGACATCTGTGATACCTTCTTCCAGAAGTCTCAGCCTGCAGATCGGTGGCTTTAACAACTGAGTCACCCCCCCCCCCCTTTTTTAAAAAGATTGCTTTCAGAAATTCACCAGATCTGTATCTTAGGAAGATAAAAGGCCAAGAGAGGAACTAGAACTAGAAGGTAGAATTTGAAGGTGTTGAGGACCCATAGAATTGTAGTAGTTTTCAGTCATCAGTCACTTCAGGAGAAATTGGTGGAGATCTAGTAAGTAGAAGCTGAGTGTAGATGGTATCTTAGAGGCCTTACAACATCTGCAGGAAGTGAGGTAGAGTATCAGCAAAGCAGGAAGTGAGAGTCAGCCCTTTGACATTTTATTCTCATCCTCTGACTCAAGACACTAATTATGTCTTTTCAACCTAAACAGAAAAGTCCCTATCTGGGAGGTTGTGGTGAAGATTAGCATAACTTGGAAGTTTCCCAACCCTCCAGATATCTTTCTGAAAACAGCATCTGTTTCAAATTTACATATAATGGATATTTTCATCAAAAAATTTGTCAAAAATTAAATTTGGTACCATAGTTTTTATCAGATTTTAAGGAGCACAATTACCAAAGAATACAACTCAAAGGGAGATTCAAAACTAAAGAAGTTTTGACATTGAGAACTTACTACATCTCCATAATACATCTGCTTGTGTACAGTGGAAATAATTAGACCCTAAATACTAAAATAACACTGCTTGGAGTCTGGCCCGTTGTAAGGCCCTCAAGTTCTTGGGAATCCTAAGAGTGGCTGTTTGAAGTAGGGCATACCTAGGACAATGCTTAGTTTGAATATTGACATGCTTATTAGGAAACTCTGCAAACTCGATTTCAGCATGCTCATTCTTTAAAACAAACCAAAGTTAAATTAACAAATTTTTTAAATCAAAATGCACATTTTTACTTTAGTAAGGTGAAGTGATAATGCATAGTCTCAATCACTTTGTGTAACTTAAGAACTATGAATGGAGCCTTTAAAAAATAACTCATTAAAATGAAAAGAGCTTTATAATGTGAAACTAGCAAACTTCATTTTAGTATATATCTTTTAAGATGAACTTCACTTTATTTGGTTCAACTCTTTAGTTGATAAAGTCATGAAGTTACCATAGGAGTTGTACAAGGAACCTGGAAAAACAAAACTTGGACTGATTTATGATATTGATTACATTTTTCTTAGTTTCGTATATAGAATTATTTAATGATGTCATCTGCATTCAGAATTGTTATGAGTAAACACTTGTTTTTCTGCCAGGTTGCTATGGAAATTTATAAATTTTGAAAGCAGATGTGAAAGATGCAAATTTTGAAAACAGCTGTGTGAAAGATTTTTAACTTTAGTTTTTGTGTGTGCGCGCGCATCGCGAGTGGTGTTTTGTTTGTTTTTTGTTTTTGTTTTTAAAAGCAACTTGATTATATTATGCTAAGTCTTCAATAGCTTGGCAACCTTGTACCTAAAACTGTTATGTCAGTATTTTACTGGATCATGTAAATGAGTATAAAAGTAAACATTATAGCATTGATTCTGTTTTTTGTGACTTAAAAATAATTTCTGCTTAAATTCCTAGTAATTAAAAGCTTTCCTTTTGATAATTGACTATAAAGTTGAGATTATTTTGGGAATAACAATTGCTTGTTACGTGCAAAAGATTTTGTTATTTTCTAGGGTTAATTATAGTTGATAATTGTGTCACTGTTTGGCTGTAGAATTTTCTTTGTATTCTTTAGTAAGTAGCAAGTTAATCAAAGTTAGATATATTTTATTTACTGTGGTAGACAGAGGGCTTGATATCCGCTTCACCCCTCTCCCAAAAATAGTGTGAAGATTTACTTGATTTAAATAGATAAAAATATACATAATTCTAAAAACCTAATTTATTTTCTTCGGTAGGTATGCATCCATGTGGAAAGGATGTCTAACACTGTATACTGGAAGGGGCGGTGAACTTCAAAAAATTGGGGAGTAAGTATTAAAATGCAATTTTGTATAGTTGAATAAATTGCAAATACTGTCTACAGAATAATTGGTAGGTATAAACTATAAATGCTTCCTCAGCTTTTTTTTTTCCCCTTTTTTTAAGGCGTATACTTTCTTTGACGAGTTTGTAGTGCATGCATATGCTGTCCTGTGGCTGGGAAAGTTAATTTCTCCTGGCAAAGAGCAGTAAGAAGCTGCAGTTGGGACCAGCTCCAGTGTGGCCCTTTGTGTAGAATTTGGAAACATGTATCTTTCAGGTGTCATTGGAAGTAGGCTCTGTCTCTTAGAGGTTTGCCAGATAAGTGAGATTTGAGTTTCAGGCTCTACGTTTACATTTTTTTTTCTGTTTATGGGTGAATTTGTACTCTGGTTGAAAGGACTTGCAGCAATGAAAACTGAGGTCCTCTATTTATCCACAGTCTAGGTACGGTGCAGGCAGCCGCAATGCGAGCTTCCGTACACTACTACCCTGGTAATGATCTCCACCCTGACCTGGAGGAAGCATCCTCTCTAAGGGTGTAAAGGTAATTCAGCCTCCATGCTAGCCTAGACATTTTGGTTGTATTACAAAGTATGGTATGGGCCATGAGCCAGAAGATGAGTTCATTCTATTTGGTAACGTTCAGACATCTACTTACTGCTTATCAAATTGGAGGATATTTAAAGAAAGAAGCCACAGTGGCACCAAAACAACAAAGACCTCACACTGAGTTCATGAGATAGCTTTAGTTTGAAGAACTCATTTTAATGAAAAAAAAAAACACACACACACACACACACACACACACACACAGGTTACCAGCTCTTAAAGTTCAGACTGCGGATGTAGCACCTTGCCTTCACTAGGAGGAAAATTAGGATTTGCTGCGGTTTGTGTTTAGAGAAGTGTTAGAAAAGTTCTTGCCTCAGTGTACCCAGGGCTGAGGATGCAGTTCTTATGTTTCTGCATTCAGAGGCATTTGTGATAGAGGTCAATACAGTGAAGAACCACTGGAGATCACTGCTCTTTGTCAGGGTCAGTCTAGGAATTACCAGATCTAGTACTTTTTTCTTTTTAATAAGGAGAAGGAACTAAGACAATGCTTGTGTGTCATGTTAGTATGCACCATGCAGTAAACTTACAGGAAGCACTGGGATAAACTGGTGGCTTGATAGCCAGTTGTCTTTCTTGTCTAGCATCCGCTCATAACCTTGAATGATTATCTTTGCAGATTCACAGTGATTGATCAAAAGAGGGCCTGGATGACAGTGTGTGAATGGGTCAGTGCAAATCCATCACCACTGCTGCAGAAACCACCCCGGACCCTAAACATGGTTCACTGGAACCAGCCTGTGTGGAAAAGCGGGACAGAGATGTGTCCTTCATCTTTGTTGATGTGTTTCTGTGTCCTTCATCTTTGACATGATTTATGTTTTGCAGTACAAAAGAAGAATTTAAACACAAAATAGAATGTTTTGTGTGTTGTAGACAAATATTTGAAGTTTTTCTGGGGTGCGGTAATTCAGGAAGTTTTTGTTATAAATGAATAGTTAGGACATTGCTAATAAGAATTCATTTGACGCTTAAATTCTTCATTCCCGTAGTTAAGGGTGTCATTTAAAGAAAGGTTAATTAATTTCAGAAGTAACTTAACCTGTCTTCTATTTTCAGGTTTTGTATGGTTTACTCAGAAGTGCCAAATTTCAGTGAACCCAATCCAGATTATCGAGGACAGCAGAACAAAGGGGTAATTAATCCAAATATATAGTGCAGGCTAACGATTGTGTATTATAGTTCCATCATTAGGCTAACCCTGTGATATTTGGAGTATAATGAAGAAAAATTTTAAAAGAATCTTTATTTTTTATTATACATATTTTATGGTTTTGTATATATATAGCATCATATACTAGTTCTATTTAGTGCTTTCTGAAGTGGGGAATATCAGGGAATATAATAGGATGTAACAGGAGCTATGAAAAGTTTTAGCACTGGATACACTTGAGCAAATTTTTAAAAAAAATTGGTTGTTAAAAGAACTTAGGATGGATATAATATTGTAATATAAATATGTTCTTTTTATCTTCATTTGGTAATATTGAAAACTCTTTTTAGGCACACAGTGAACAGAAGAATAATTCCATGAATAGTAATATGGGTACAGGTACATTTGGACCAGTGGGTAAGAATTTTTTTTGGCATATTTGTGATCAAGTGTGTATTGAGGGAGTTATGAAAGGCTTAAAGGAAAGAAATGTCCTTATGGCACTGAATGTGAACTACTAGCTTGGAGGAAATAGTCAAATAACTGATCTGATTTTACAGAAACCAGGTACCCTCTTAAGCCAAATTATTGTGTACCTTCCATATTTAGTTTTTGGAGCAGTTAGGGAGGAAATAGGGTAACTAATGAGAAATCTTAAATTTTTATTTCTATTAGAATGTGCATGTTATTTTTCTGTTGATTCTTATAAAATGTGTAATCTAATGACTGATTATAACAGGTACATACAGAGTTATTGCTTATTTTGATTAACTGAAAGTCTGTTATCTTTAGTTATAGTGATGTAGAATTAATTAATACCACAATTTTTCACATAGTGGCTGCCTGTTTAAATGATTATTTTTTTAAAAAGCTTTATCTATTTATTTGAAAGGCAGCATTACAGAGAAAGAAAGGAGAGAGAGATCTTCCATCCACTGGCTCACTCCCCAGATGGCCAGGGCTGGGCCAGGCTGGAGCCAGGAGCTTCTTCCGGGTCTCCCACATGAGTTCAAGGGCCTAAGCACTTGAGCCATCCTCTGCTGCTTTCCCAGGCACATTACCAGGGAGTTGGATTGGAAGTGGACCAGCTAGATCTTAAACTGGTGCCCAGATGGGCTGCTGGCACTGTAGGCAGCAGCTAACCTGCTATGCCACAGCACTGGCCCCTAAAAGATAACTCCTGGAATTTGATGTTAATGGTCCTTTCAGTTACTGGAGTTCTTCCCAAGGCCTTATTCTTAAGTAACTGGGAAAGAATCTTTGTGACTGGGGTTAATTAAGGTGACCTGTGTTTTATTTGACCTCATAGCATGTCTAGCACAACCAGTCATCATCAGTCATATTATGGGATACTTTGCTGTGTTTGCTTTGATTAGAATTACATTATCTGTAAAAAAAAAAAAAAAAAAAAAAAAAAGAATCACACTGTTTTGAAATATTTAATCATATCTAAGGCAAATACTGTACTATTTTAACATTTCTTTTTCTTTGATCCAAAAAGTGTAGACAGTGTATCATATGCTTTTTTTCTACTCTGTTTCTTATTTTGTTGCCCGAGTTGACTTTTTCTCCCTCTCACTACAATGCAGCATCAAGTTAATGCATTTTCAGTGTTGTATATACTATTTGGAAAAACCTAGAACCCACATTTTTTGGTAGTAGAAAACTAACGTGTTTATTTTCCCTAATATTATTTATGAGCATCAGTAGTGTCTTATAACTTCAAATACATGTACATTACCTTATATAGACCATGAAAACAGAGATGAATTTTTTTCTTCTTTTCTTTTTTTAGGAAATGGTATTCAACCTGGCCCTGAGTCACGGGGATACCAGTTTTCATATGCTGGTAGAAGCAATGGCCGGGGACCTATAAATCCACAGCTGCCAGGAACAGCCAATAACCAAACAGTCATGACCACAATAAGTAATGGCAGGGACCCTCGGAGAGCCTTTAAAAGATGACCTATGCCAAATATTCGCATGTAGTTCTTAAGCTACATGTTCTACTTGAACACTTACTGCACTTTTATTTATTGTTAACTGTGAAAACTGTGTACTTTTTTGGTTTCCTTTTCCATTTTCAGTTTGTTAAGAAGAGGGATTTGTTTTTATAGCAAAACCTGTTAAGCTGCTCAAGTCTTCTGTTGAAGAATGGGAACATTCTGAAAAGTAGGGGCATTTATTTTTAGAACAAAAACGTTGGCTATCCTCTAAAAAACCACCCATTTCATGGGTGAGTTACTTAAGACATCAGCTTTATAGCCTCTATGAGTCTGTCTATCTGTATAAATTTTGTAATATTAACATAAGGCTTAGTGGAAGATATTCTTTTGTCTCACATTCAGATAATTGCCAACTAAAGCAATAACTACCAAAAAAAAAAAAGAAAGAAAAATACCACATCAAAAAGACAAAATCCCACACAAACCTGGTTAATGCAGTGTTTTGAATATTTGTGACTTCAGGAATAATTGACTTCTTCATTGAGTGACTAGTACTAAAATGTTTCCAAGGATTGAATCATCCTAAATTCTTGTTTTACCAAAAAATCATATTCTTTATCAGAATTACGGGGTAGGATGTGATCTGTACAGTAACAAGTAATTTTTAGAAGAATGCTACTTTTCCTTAAATTAGGGTAGTGCTCTTAACATTTGTTACCAAACTTGAAGGGAAATTTAAAACTGAATCCTTGAATATTTATATTTTGAAACTACCGTGTTAAAGATTAAAGTACAATTTGAAGGAGTTACAAAGTCATAACAAATGTTGATCTAATTATTTTAAAAGTAATTGTAGTGGCCATCACAGTAAAAGTTACTCAAGTTGAATTCATGTGGTAATATACAGTCTTAAGTTACAGATCCTAGACACTGAAGAGATACTGAGCCACAGCGGAGTATCTAGGCACTTTATTTGAGAGGGGTGTGTGTGTGTGTGTGGGTATGTGTGTATGTGTGTGGTCAGAGTTTCTAACCACAATTCACATAGCCTTATTAGAAAAGTTAATGACTCTCAAAGAAGCAATTACAGCCTTATTCAGAAATGTAAAGAAGGAGTTTATTTATGTGCTATAAATGGTACCCATTTCTACTTTTTACTTTTTGTAGGAGTGGATAACTGGTAAATTTTTCCTTTGTTAGAATTAAATTCATCTTGAATATTATCTCTTGAATAAAAACTGCATTACTGTTAACAGACCTACCTAATTTTGCCCAGTCTTTGAATGGAGAGCCACTACATCTCAGTGTAAAAAGTTGTAATGACATCAACCTGGTGATTGCTTAACTGCATGTTGCATAATTTGTTTTGAAATTCAAATTTTCAGATTTGAAATTTGAAAAAAGACTTGTTTTCTGAAATTTATAGTGTCTGAATTAAGAAAATTTGTGACAATTATTTGCTCAAATTCAGAGTATCTACAAATATTTCAATATTTAGTATGTATTAGACACTGGAAAATGTTAAGGGGTAGACAAAATATTGAATAGTCTTAAGTTTATGGTCTAGACTAGTTTCATAATCTGGTTTTATATATCGTAATTTAATTATTTTGAGTTTGTGACTTAAGTTTTTTGCACATTTCAAGATTATTCTTAAGTTATTTGAGGTTGGGATAGAATGTTTCTTGAGTATAGATGTTGAGAATTAAACAACCAATTGGTATATAACTTTATTTTTTTTAAAGATTTATTTGTTTGATAGAGAAAGAGGGAGCAAGGAAGAGTGAGAGATCTTCCAGCCACTGGGTCACTCCCCTGAGATGGCTGCAGCAGCCATGGCTGAGCCAGTTTGAAGCTAGGAGCCAGGAGCTTCATCTCCATCTCCTACAAGGGTGACAGGGACCCAGACACTTGGCCCATCTTCTACTGCTTTTTCCAGGTGGTTAGCGGGGAGCTGCATCAGAAGTGGAGCAGCTGGCACTCCAACCGGTGCCTTGTGGAATACCAGCATTGCAGGCAGTGGCTTAATCTGCTATACCACAATGCTGGCCCTAGTACATAACTTTTATTTATTTTTTGGTTTCTTTAGTATAGAACTTAAAAACTAAATGGAGATACAATAGTATATAACTTAAAAAACTAAATGGAGATACAAGCAATACTTTTATTTGTAGGAGAATATAGTATTTTTTTTTTTCAAAGATTTACTTATTCAAAGTCAGAGTTACGCAAAGAGAGGGAGAGGTCTTCCGTCTGCTGGTTCACTATCCAATTGGCTGCAATGGCGGGAGCTGTGCCAATCTGAAGCCAGGAGCTTTTGGGTCTCCCACGCAGGTGCAGGGGCCCAAGGACTTGGGCCATCTTCTGCCTTCACAGGCCACAGCAGAGAGCTGGATAAGAAGTGGAGCAGCGGAGACTCAAACTGGTGCCCATATGGGATGCCAGTGCTTCAGGCCGGGCGTTAACCCACTGCACCACAGCGCCATCCCCGGGAGAATATAGTATTAAAGGTGATCCTAAAATAATTTTGGAGTTTTGGAAAATGAGCATAATATCACGGATTGCTAGGCTTTTGATCCTGGCGTGCTTGAGATCTTTCTCACTGAGTCTTAGATTCCAAAACTATGAAAATAAGTCAGCAGTAGGAGTTAAAATTTCCGAGTAAGAAAGAATGGTTTCTAGCATACAATAATTCAGCAAACATTTGTTGTCTAATCACCTATAAGGAAAAAAAATGCAGAAGTGAGAGAAGTATTGTCACCCTTTCATATTGGGATTGCATTGACATTTGCCTCAATAATTTAGCCTTGTTCTGTGTTATTATTTATTAACAAATTTCTTTTTTCTTAAGGGAAATCTTCAAAACCAAAGCAAAGTGAGTTATAATCCATAATGACTGTTTGCCTTAACCATCTGCTTGGACAACACTCATCAAGAGATTAAGAGGAAGAAAATTTTCCACCTTCCTCTTTCCTGGTGCCTTTGGCTGTCATCTTTGAACTACGTTTAAACACCACCAACTGAATACAAAGACCATTTAGTATAGAAATACAGTCTACTAGGATTGGGCCCCTGTATCATATCTAAAGAATGGGTCTGCAGTGGGTTGAAGTGTGACCAAACCAGCTAACCCTTGTCTGGGCAGGTTCTGGGGGGAGTTGCTATTATAGTGATACTCAATTGTGACATGTATAATGTTTCAAATGATAGGTAACAGTGAAGGCTATAGCACACTTCCTGCAGGCTTTTCAACATTCAGGTTTCCTGTAGTGTATCAGGTTTAGTTAAGTGGGTTTTTTTTGTTGTTTTTGTTAATATTTGAAGACCATTTAATCCTAAATGTATATAGCACTGAGTGTTTATCACTCGTATTTTTATCATTTAACAGTTCAAATGAATAATTGCTGGGTTGAGTATTGCCAAGGGAATTATACTAAAACAGAAATGAGGTTAGTGAAAAATTATAGTTGATATGAGAACTTTGAAAGTATGGGAAGGTGGTTAACTGACCCTTAAACAATTTTCTCTGAGGCAGATTGAGAGAGTTTTCCATCATTCTGAAGACACAGTGTCAGTTGTTAGTTTACATGTTGTGTGGGCCAGACATTTCAGCTTCATTACTGAGTTACTTCCCTGTCCTGGTGTCATTAACATAATGAGTGTTTGCTCCAAGCCATTTGATGCTGCGCGTGACTCAGGGTAGTTTTATCTAATGCTTTGGGAAGAGCTCTACAAACTGAACTAAACGACAGACGACTGACGGCATGAAGTAGTGTCAACACAGAACACTTTCCCAAGTTTAACTCATTCTTGGAATTACGTGCCCCATTACTAGTGTGTGTGTGTTTTTCTTTAGATTAATTTATACCCTGATAGTCCGAACATTTCTAGTGGAAAGAGATGGTCAATTGTCTACAAGACGTGGGAGGTAAAGGGGTTACAGGGAGAGATGCTTGATGTTTGTCAAAACACAAATCACAGACTTAAATCTGAGAAAATCAAATCCAGACATCTGACAAACCATTTACTTAGCACTTTTTCCACATTAACATTAGACCCGAAGATGTTACTAAGCTTTTTACCATGATGAGGTGTCTGGTGTGTTGTAAAGAAAAGTGCAGATCTTAACAATTCTGGCCAGTAGACATTTAAACTTCAAAAGAATGGTAGGTCACAATCTTACTATGGCTCTGCCAGCCATGAAAATGATGGGTGATTCATTGCTGAACATAATGGATCCCAGGTCTTCTAAGAGTCCATCAATACTTCATGCCTTCACCAAAATTCGGTTCTGCATATATAAGGATAATCCGCATTCTTGGTCTATATATATATTGGATTCAGAATAAATACATGGAATTCACTATGTTGAATAAAACATTGTTTATAAACCATCTAAGGCCGGCGCTGCGGCCCACTAGGCTAATCCTCCACCTTGCGGCGCCGGCACACCAGGTTCTAGTCCCAGTCGGGGCGCGGGATTCTGTCCCGGTTGCCCCTCTTCCAGGCCAGCTCTCTGCTGTGGCCCAGGAGTGCAGTGGAGGATGGCCCAAGTGCTTGGGCCCTGCACCCACGTGGGAGACCAGGAGAAGCACCTGGCTCCTGGCTTTGGATCAGCGCGGTGCGCCGGCTGCAGCAGCCATTGGAGGGTGAACCAACGGCAAAGGAAGACCTTTTTCTCTCTCTCACTGTCCACTCTGCCTGTCAAAATATATATATATATATATATATATATATATATATATATATAAACCATCTATATGACACTTCTCAGGAAGTTGTTAGAAGTACAGGTTAAAACTGACCTAGGAGAGCTGCCCTGGAAACGCCCTGAAATCCCTGACCTCCTGCCCATCAAGCCTCCCTTTAACAGATAACTTAGTTTTGGAGTTAGAGTAAGTGGTCTCTATTTAGCTTTGTGAGGCTACCACATGAGTGATTGTACTGGGAAAAAGTTGTACTTAGGAAGGATGTACCTCCACAGGATGGAATTGATGGGTAAAGCACGTAGTCTTGAGCAGAGTAAGTTGAGTAAGGCCTCGAGATGTGAGCATGGCAAATTTTGAATTAAGTTCAAATAGAATTATTCAAATTACTGTAGTGCTGACATCTCAGATCTCTGTAGTGGGAGTCACATGGCTTCATCTGAGCCTATGTAGATCAAAGTAAAAAGCTTTTCTACCCTAAGTTTTTGTTAAAAATTTAAAATAGATTTTATTTCAGCAAATACACATTTGCAGTGTCTTCCACTTTACTGTCACTCAATTCCTTGTGAGAAGGACTAGAGGAGAGCTGCCAGAATTGAAAAGTAGTGGAGTTGGAAGAGTGATGAGTAATCCTGAGGATCCCGGTAGAAACCACTGTTAATCCTGGTTATAGATCTCAATCTTGTATGTGTACCAAGAAGCATCTACATTATTTCCCACAAGTAATATGCAAGGCATTATTTGAT